TTGATGCCATTAGAACAAAACTAAGGTCGAAGTCACAACCTGAGTTTTCCAACTTAGCATCCTTTTGATGTCATTAGAACAAAACTAAGGTCGAAGTCACAACCTGAGTTTTCCAACTTAGCATCCTTTTGATGTCATTAGAACAAAACTAAGGTCGAAGTCACAACCTGAGTTTTCCAACTTAGCATCCTTTTGATGCCATTAGAACAAAACTAAGGTCGAAGTCACAACCTGAGTTTTCCAACTTAGCAACCTTTTGATGCCATTAGAACAAAACTAAGGTCGGAGTCACAACCTGAGTTTTCCAACTTAGCAACCTTTTGATGCCATTAGAACAAAACTAAGGTCAAAGTCACAACAAGAGTTTTTGCAACCTAGTAAATTCTAAATCTTTTGTTTTCTTTATCCAAAGAGTAGTTTTTTTCCTTGAAGACATAACGAACTTTAAGGTAAAACATTCTTTGTTCAAACTGATTCCGAAACTACACACCCACATTAAACTGATTCCGAAACTACACACCCACATTAAACTGATTCCGAAACTACACACCCACATTAAACTGATTCCGAAACTACACACCCACATTAAACTGATTCCGAAACTACACACCCACATTAAACTGATTTTGTTAGGCAAGCACCGAAATATCCTTATTTATTACGACCCACCTTAAACCAGAAACAGACACATACATATATATATACAGACCGATATATGTGAAAGTCGTGCTCGAGTAAATGGTTAATTTTTTGAATCACTCCCTATTACCTTTCATTCTGCAATATTTACACCAGGTGATAGTTTTCTCATGATGTTGATAGACTTTCATATAAATAATGTGACAAAATTTTGTTAAATATAGTGACAATCAAATAATAATAATGAAAATAATATATATTTAGCCTGGGCTTTTCCCATCACTGAACATATAATTTGGAAGCCATCTTTAGGCGATGAGCTGATAACATCATATTTCCGGTCTAAAGAGGATAATGTTACCATTGACCATTTAAAAAAATATATTAAAAATAATACGATTTACTTCTTTCTTCCGTGCAAACGTTTTGGAAAGTAAGTTCGTTTTTAACGAAAAGTAGGATAATGTCCACTAGGTTGAACAAAAGTAATGGGAAAGCTAACCCTTAAGTATAATGTTAAGAATATTTAGACATCAGAAAAGTGACATTTTGACAACATTCTGAACATATGTCACATTACGTCCAGCTGGTTCGAGAACCAAAATCATCAATAATGCTAAAAAATAAATCTTACCATGGCCAGAAAGATTATGAACTCTGACCATGCTGACCAATTTCTTTGTTTTCTAAAACAGTGTATTCTGTAAAAATCACTTGATAGGAAAGTTTGACAAGATGACTTTTACCAAAACTTACCAATCAGATTTAAAGCTACAGAATAAACTAAACTAAGCCTACAAATCAGAATTTAAAATACAAGATAATGAAAACAAAATATACAAATTACGTTTCAAGTACAAGATAAATCAAATAAACTGTACCAGTCAAATTTCAAGATACAAAATGAAATAGTGTTAAGATTTACAAGGAAAATTAAACATAACTAAACTATTATTCTTCAGCTGACTTTAATAGGAAACAAAAGATGAAAGGATGTGATGTCCTGTGATAGAAACATTTCAAGTTTTGGGACTTTCCCATAATAATTCCCTAGTTTAAGTGATTAGTTCCTTCGCTGAATAAAATGTGATCTTTAAAAACATTCAGCCAACGAACAAGCGACACCTAAAGTTTTATTCAGTACATACATGGCCAAAACATTACGTTACGAATGATAGCTCCAAATTTGGTTTGATTTTTGTTTTTGTTTGTTTTTGAATTTCGCGCAAAGCTACACGAGGGCTATCTGCGCTAGCCGTCCCTAATTTAGCAGTGTAAGACTAGAGGGAAGGCAGCTAGTCATCACCACCCACCGCCAACTCTTGGGCTACTCTTTTACGAACGAATAGTGGGATTGACCGTCACATTATAACGCGAGCATGTTTGGCGGGACGGGGATTCGAACCCGCGACCCTCAGATTGCGATTCGAATGCCCTATCCACCTGGCCATGCCGGGCCCCAAAATTGGTGTAGATGATTAAATAAAATCAATTTTATTTTACTAGTGACTTATTTCTAATCATTTCTAGATCTTAGCATGTAACACACTCATTTAAGTATTTGTAAAAAATGGTCAAAATTATTCTGTAACATTACGAAACCCTTTTATATATATATCTGTTTGGTTTGTTTCTCTGAAATTTACAAAGTTCCGGACAGGATTTACGACCAAAGTTGCGTGAAAAACCTATTTAATCCCTGAACATTGCTATGAAGTTAGGCTTTATAAGAGGATCCAAGCTCAGAAAACAGCAATGAAAATTAAGGACAGAAGAGATTAATGATGGAACATAACAAAAGCTGTTATCCATTCCTTGGCTATTGGAGCCTGATGGAATTTTCACGCTGTTCTACTTAAGGTATGCAAAATCTAATCATTGTGGTTTTTGAAAACTCAAAAAGAATAAAATGTGAGAAATATGGAATTTCTGAAACATTAGAATATTTCACAAATCAGTAGCCATTCACCACGCTACCTCTTCGTTTCCAAAATGCGCGCTACATTAACGCTACATTTGGGGTTCCTTTCTCTGAGCACGGTCTTGAAGCGTTATCTAACGACACCAGATTCTTGGAATTGTAGTCGGTGTTAATTACGTTTTTGTGCGTGTGTGTGTGTCAGTCTGGAAGGCCAGAAGAATGACACTGGTAACGATCGGAAACAAAGATCGCAGAAAAGGCATCGCATTAACAAAACATATTGGCTCTTTATTTATGTCGTACATGTTAAAAATGAGGGTTGTACACCATTTCTTCCAGAAGACAGTTCGGTACTAGATGGTATCCTCACAATGCGTCGTCCATTAGTCTGTTTCTTCCGAACCAGTGGTTCAGAACAGTTGAACTGGTCGCTGTTTTTCAAAGGGTAAAACCAGGCATGTTTCCATTGATCATTTGCATACAAACCACACATCCTCTCACCCCTGTCTTTTCTTCTGCACTGAGAATAGAGCATCCCATCGAAACGTAATCCTAAAAGTTCAATAGTGACTTGCAGTCTGGTTTTAATAACTATTCAACAGTGACTTGTAATCTGATTTTAATAACTATTCAATAGTGACTTGCAATCTGATTTTAACAACTATTCAATGGTGACTTGCAATCTGATTTTAATAACTATTCAATAGTGACTTGCAATCTGATTTTAATAACTATTCAATGGTGACTTGCAATCTGATTTTAACAACTATTCAATAGTGACTTGCAATCTGATTTTAACAACTATTCAATAGTGAATTGCAATCTGATTTTAACAAGTAATCTTGTGTTGCAATGTCAAACGGTTAGCACGTTATTGGTATTGATAACAAAAACAGAGGAAATTAATACGATCTTAGGTCTGAAACCTGACTTGATTTAAATGTGAAAGTTCACTTGATTTAGGTGTGAAAGTTCATGTGACTTACATGTGAAAGTTGATCTGATTTAAATGTGAAAGTTCACTTGATTTAGGAGTGAAAGTTGATCTGATTTAAATATTAAAGTTCACTTGATTTAGGTGTGAACGTTCATGTGACTTACATGTGAAAGTTCATTTGATTTAGGTGTGAAAGTTGATCTGATTTAAATGTGAAAGTTCACTTGATTTAGGTGTGAACGTTCATGTGACTTACATGTGAAAGTTCATTTGACTTAGGTGTGAAAGTTCACTTGATTTAGGTGTGAAAGTTGTTTTTGACAGTGTTTTGGTTTATAAAAACAACTCCATAATTTTTACATGGAACTTGTTTTCAATCATTCGCTCTGAAGTATTGTATTACAAATTCTGAATAGACAAAACTGTATTCTTAACATTGTTAGCTACCTACACCTGTTGGTGAAAATATTTAACTTGCAAAATAAGAAATGCTTTATTTTTCTTTCAACACTGGTTTAGTTTGCTAAGGGCAATTTCACGTACCATATGCCATCATTCACCTTGATTGTTTGTTTGTTGTTAAATGTAAAGCTCCACAATGGGCTAACACAGCTCTGCCACCACTGTTCCGGGTTATTTTTATAATCGAAAACAGGTAGTACTATCACTTTCAAATTAGGACAGCGCAGATAGCCCTCGAGTAGCTTTACACGAACTTCCGAAACAAATAAACCAACCTTTCTGAGAAAAACTAAAACTCCGAATGCCGTACACAAGACATATGACCTCACCTCAGATGTGTTCTTCTTAAACTCTCGGCTCTGTTCCACGAGTTTTTTTCTTGATGTTTCGCTTTCATCTTGTCTGTTAGCAAGTTCTGCTGCTGTTGTGTCCAACTCTCTCTGCCACAGATAAAAACAATTGTTAAAAGTGAGTTTCTTAAAAAAAGAAAAAAAGATTTGATACTCTTTAAACAATTATAAGGTTTGGTTTGAAGTTCGCGCAAAACTACACGAGGGCTATCTGCGCTAGCCGTCCATAATTTAGCAGTGAAAGACTAGAGCGAAGGCAGCTAGTCATCACCACCCACCGCCAACTCTTGGGCTATTTTTTTTACCAACGAATAGTGGGATTGAGCGTACATTATAACGACCCCACGGTTGAAAGGGCGAGCATGTTTGATGGGACGAGAATTCGAACCCATGAACCGCAGGTTGTTAGTCGAACGCCCTAACCACCTAGCCATGCCATGCAGCACAAATATAAAGAAAACATACATCAAACAAAGATTGGAATGTCCCTTACCCTAGTGTTACCGATATAGGCTCCAAAAGATATTTTTAAACCATTTTTCTAAGCTATTTATGCAACAACTTGCTAGTGAGTCCATTTATATGATGGTTAGAGAGATTCTAGTAACATACGAAATACGTTAAATAGTGTGATTCGAATGTATTGGTATTAACCAATATTTTTATATAGAACATGGGTGACTTTACCCAAACTTATGGTCAGTTCGTTAAGCTGAATATCATAAAAACATACATTTACTCAATAGATGGCATTAATAGATGTATTAAATCAAATCAATAATTTGATGATTAACCAAATCGTTCTTGGTACAGTGCTTTGCAAACCTGAATGAATAACCCTTAATAACAGACGTTTCGGTTCGTTGCTTTGTGAACCTTGAAAATAATCCTAAATAGACGTTCTCGGTACGGTGCTTTGAGAATCTATAGGAATAACCCTTTACAAACGTTCTCAGTACGGTGCTTTGAGAAATTGTAGTAGCAATCCTTAAAACAAACGTTATTGGTACGGTACTTTGCGAACCTATAGGAATAACCCTTTACAAACGTTCTTGGTACGGTGCTTTGCGAACCTATAGGAATAACACTTTACAAACGTTCTTGGTACGGTACTTTGCGAACTTGAAGGAATAATAACCCTGAACAGACGCTGTCGGTACGGTGCGTTGTGAACCTATAGGAATAATAACCTTTAACAAGCGTTCTCGGTACGGTGACTTCCGAACCTTAGAAGTAACCCTTAAACGTAGCCGATATGGTGCTTTGCGAACATGTGTGAATAATAACCTTTGATAGAAGTACTTTGTTCTTAATACTGTCAAGTAAAAACCTTTGAGTAAAAAACCTTTTACTGTCAAGTAAAAACCTATAATATTACTTAAATTTTCTTTATTTAATATTAGTAAATTTATTTAGCAATTGCTGAAACATTTACTTCGTGCTCGTGTTATAACGTGCAACATAGCTCTATCGCGTGTCTCCACTTTTATAGCTACAAGGATTATGTCATACTTTGAGGCATTTCGTCAGGTTTGTCTTACTTACAGTGCACATGGTTATACAGTAGCAAGTTATTGGTAAGGTTCCAGTCTGTGCACCATCTTTTAGTTTGTTTATTTGTTTTAATTTCGCGCAAAGCTACACGAGGGCTATCTGCGCTAGCCGTCCCTTAATTTAGCAATGTAAGACTAGAGGGAAGGCAGCTAGTCATCACCACCCACCGCCAACTCTTGGGCTACTCTTTTACCAACGAATAGTGGGATTGACCGTCACCTTATAACGCCCCCACGACTGAAAGGGCGAGCATGTTTGGTGTGACGGGGATTTGAACCCGCGACCCGCAGATTGCGAGTCGAGCTCCCTAACCACCTGGCCATACCGGGCCCGAGATAGGGTAAGAGACACACACTGCAGAATTTAATTAGCTACTTAGACGCAAGAAGAACCTATATCATGATTGACAGTTTTGTTGTTGTTGTTGTTTTGTACAGCCAGCTTTCAGACAAGACATGGGCCACAGACGTAAGCCTTATCGATGTTGACAACGAAATGCATGAATAGGGAGGGTTATATGTCCAACTTTTTTATCTTTCTTTTCTGTCGTATGATACTGTAAATGATCACAACACAAAAAACAAGTCAGCATTATCAATTACGCTTATACTGATCCTTTCAAGGCTCAAGAAAGATTCTCCATAATCCCAACCAACAAACTTCTGAATAAAATCAATCTGGATCTAAAGCTTCTGCATTATCTCAACCAACAAACTTAAGAGTTAAACCATTCTGGATCTAGAGCTTTTGCATTATCTCAACCAACAAACTTAAGAGTTAAACCATTCTGGATCTAGAGCTTCTGCATTATCTCAACCAACAAACTTAAGAGTTAAACCATTCTGGATCTAGAGCTTCGGCACAATCTCAACTAACAAACTTCATATTAAAACCGTCCTGGATCAGCTAGAGCTTCAACGTAATCCTAAGTCAGTACAGAATATGTACAAAGTTGGATGAGAGGAAGATAATAAGAAAGAAGCAAACGAAATCTAAATGATGTTCTTATCACATTGAAGAATTGTAGCATTGGTAATTACTATGTAAGGGAAAAAAGGGCAAACTTAAAAGGTTATCTCTACTGCACACAATAAACCACGTCATTAATAATAACTATGCGATAAGTAAGGGGAAAAAATCCAAAGAAAGTCCAAAAGCTATCTTTGACAGAGCGGATGAGACCACCACAATTGTGATTATTGAATAAATCGAAAAAACTGCGAAGCAGAAAGGTATGACAAGTCATAGTTGAAAAATTGTAATAATTGACTGGCATCATTAAAGATCGATATCTTACACTTAGACCTTCTGTTCAGGTTAAAAAACAAAATTCCAGAAACGCGAAAAGACTCTTCTTTGGTATCAGTAACATCTGCGTGTTAGTGAGTTTGTTGAATTTCGCGCAAAGCCACTCGGGGCTATCTACTCCAGCCGTCCCTAATTTTGAAGCGACAGACTAGAGAGAGAGAAGGCAGATAGTCAACACCACCCACCGCTAACTCTTAGGTTACTCTTGTACCGACGAAAAGTGAGACTGACTGTCACATTATAACGCTTCAACTGCTGAGAGGGCAAGTATGTTCGGTGACGGAATTCGAGCCCGTACCCGCAGATTGCGAGTCGAGTGCCCAAACCACCAGGTCATGCCAAGCCTTAAAATAATAGTTTGTTTTCTTATTAATCACAAAGCTACATAACGGGCTATCTGTGCTATGCCCACCACGGGTATCGAAGCCCGGTATGTTCAGACTTACCGCTGAACCAATGGCGGGCAGTATTATTAAAACATTCCACCATACAACATAATGAATTATGAATTTTGGACCTAAATGCCATTTGATATTTTACTTAAACATATGTTGTTTCTTTTGTAATCATAAAAATACACTTCAAGGATAATAACCCTGGCACGCAATTTCATAACTAGGTTTAATTTTAGGCCTCGTTCTACAACACAATTCAATAATAAAGTTTAATGTTATGCCTATATTTCTATACGTATAAATCAAGGACTGGGTTTAGTCATAAGCATAGCCCTACCATACATTTCAATAACCATGTTTATTGTGATGCCTACCTCTACCATATAAATTAAGGACATGGTTTAGTTTATAAGCCTAATCCTACTGAAAAGTCCAAAAACAGAGTTTGATTTCAAGTACACCTTTGCGCACAATTTCATAACTAGTTTTACTTTTAGGCCTAACTCCAATACAATTCAATAACCGGGCTTGATATTAGGTTTAACGCAGCTACACTATTCAAGAACCGGCTTAACTTTAGGCCTAATTATCGCACAACACATCATAAATTACTCTAATATATGGTACTAATGAGAAATTTTCTTGAGTGATCAGAGTTAGATGATGTAATGCTGTGAATTATGCCTTGCTGGGACATGTAATTACTGTCAGAGTAATTAAATATTACTTTAAACCATTTTGCATTGTTAGTTGACTTAAAGGTTCATTATTCGTATATATATATATAATGATGGATAATTACAAATATTTAAGTATTTTCGGTTTAGTTAGTTTCTCCCATAGTTATTGTATTATTACATGAAGTGTCCTTGTGTGTGCCGCACCATATTAAACTTAGTTTGGGGTTGCAATTACCTCTGTCGTAACTGGTATGCTAATCAGTTTTATATAATGTACTGACACGAAAGTCTGGTTCGATTCCCCTGTAGACTAGCTATAAGATACTCAAGTTTAAAAACATTACATTTGTATTATATGACAAGCGTTTCAATAAGTTGGCAAATGTCTACAACATGAACTTACCAAACGTTTAGCAAGTGAGGTTGTATATGTATCAAATACTTTTTACTTCACGAACTAATTTTGTAAAGTCTTAATGTTTTAATTGGACTTCATTAACTCGGCTGAAACAAAGAATTTATAAATTAATTCAAATATCAAGAATTTCTAAAAATTAAGAGTAACAAAACATGATAACAACGTTCCTATCATTAGTAAAATGTATGTTATTACACGCAGTAATTAAAACAAAACGTACAAATATTTATAGAAATAATAGATCAGAGAAAGAAGACAGGAGAAAAGGGAACCTTTGAGTCCCAAGGGTTTTCAATACATACACTGTATACTGGCTCCACTAATTAGCTGATAAAGTTAAAAGTAATTTTCTTCGGTGTAAAGTGCAATTCATTTCAGTACTCCTAACATTTCTTTCAATAGGAATTTATGTAGAGTCAGAGCGACGCATCCACATCTGTGAAAATTAAACCATACAACCTACGTACCTCTGAAGACACAGCCGCCAAATCGGGCTGTATTTATCTTATTTCGCACGAGTGTACGTACAGTAACAAGCTGTTACAAAACAAAAGTATTTATTCGTAAGGTTAATTATCTTAAACCAGGCCCTGACAAGAAGAACCAACTATTTAAACTTCATAAGGTTAATTATCTTAAACCTGAAGTTTAAATAGTTGGTTCTTGTCAGGGCCTTAAGGTTAATTATCTTAAACCAGGCCCTGACAAGAACCAACTATTTAAACTTCATAAGGTTAA